CTGGAACTGAGCTGTTCCAGTAGCATTGCCAGTAGCCATACTAGTGTGGCTTCTGAGCACTTGAAATGTGGTGCATCTGAATCAAGGTGTGCAGTGCAGGTAAAATACACCTGGGAGTTTGAAAAAAAACTTAGTCTGAAAAAAAGAATGTAAACTATTTCAGCGATTAGACAACAAAAAGAAAAGGCATACAAATTGGCAAGGAAGAAGTCATTAATATTTTTTATCTTGATTATATATTGTAATGATAATATTGGGTTCAAATAATTATTAAAATTAATTTTACCCATTTCCTTTTTTATTTGAAAAAGTTTTGAAAAATTTTGATAACATATACATGACATAAAGTTTACCATAAAGTTTATTTTTATCTTAACTAGTATTTATTTATTTTTAAAAATTTGTTTAACATTTTTATTTATTTTTGAGAGACAGAGAGAGAGTGCGAGCGGAGGAGGGGCAGAGAGCGAGGGAGACACATAATCCCAAGCAGGCTCCAGGCTCTGAGCTGTCAGCACAGAGCCCTATGCGGGGCTCGAACCCATCAACTGTGAGATCATGACCTGAGCTGAAATCTGACGCTTAACCAACTTAGCCACCCAGGTGCCCCTTAACTATTCTTTTAAAGTAATCTCTGTGCCCATTGTGGGGCTCTAACTCCTGACCCTGAGATCACGAGTTGCGTGTTTTACTGACGGAACCAGCTAAGTGCCATGCCTTAACCATTTTTTAATTGTACGGTTCAGTACATTCATATTATTGTGCAACCATCTCCACCATCCATCTCCAGAACTCTTTTCATCTTAGAAGTATGAAACTCCATGGAGTGCCTGGGTGACCCAGTCAGTTAAACGTCAGATTCTTGATTTTGGCTCAGGTCATGATCTCAAGGTTCGTAAGATTGAGCCCTGCATTGGGCTCTGTGCTGACAGTGCAGAGCCTGCTTGGGATTCTCTCTCTTGGTCTCTTTCTGCCCCTCCCCTGTGTGCTCTTGGTCTAAATAAATACATAAATACATAAACAAACAAATAAATAAGATAATAGAAATAAGAAACTTCATACCTGTTAAACAGCTCTGCATTCCCCCTCTCCCCAGTCACAGGCAACCCCCATTCTACTTTCTGTCTCTATACATTTGTCTGCCGATCCCTCAAATAAGTGAAATCATACAGTATTTGTGACTGGTTTCTTCACTTAAAAAATTTTTAGTTACTATACAATTTACAATGATGTGGCTGGCGTTATATCTAGTGGATGGTATTGAAGGAGAGTAAACAGCCGCCACCATTTTAGACAGGACAGAGTTCTATGCTCAGTCCCACCTCTCCCCAGTGCCATTTACCATTTGGTATTGGATTTATGTTTTCTTTTTTATGTTCACATTTCTTCTAATTGAGGAAAGGGAAGTATTTCTTACATTCCTGTCTCCATCAGACATGGAAAATGAAAGGATTTTCCCCTACTTTTTAGAGGGTCATATCTTTGGAAGCATAGTTTTCTTTGTGGAAGGGAAAGAGTCATTTAATATACAAAGTGTTTCTGTGTTCAAAGACTACAACCTAAGGTAGCATTATGAAACAAATTACTGCCTTGGATGGCTGCACTCATTGTCTCCTTGGCCCCTATAAACCTTTAATTTGAACTCTTTATTTATTTCCTTGTGTTAATTGAATTCCATTTGGGAGAAAAGATTCTAACCAACTACTACTACAAACGGCTCTTCTCTTGTGATTACTTGACATAAATCACTGGATAGCAGGTACTTTATTGATTAGCTTTCAAATAAAGTTTCACTATTAAATATGGTGTCCATATGACTAGAAAGCATTTAGACTGAATATTTATTTACAGACTACAGTTTTACTTTGCAGTTTTTGAAAGCTTGGAGCAGTGTAAGGGAGATAGCACCTTCATTAAGATTTTCAGTGATATGATTATTATGTATGGTGACAATCTGTTAAGTGAGGGTTGTTTAAAACCACATAAGCGAAGAAAGTACAGGAGAAATTCAGCTGTATTTTGTGTTTTGCTGTTTGGTGGCTGTTAGGAGGAGAGAGGATCTTTGCCAGGTGAATAGTTCTGGAGAAATGCCATAGCCAAGGAAGGAGGACAGTGTGTGAAGTGACAGGGTCCTAAAGGGTATCTGGGAGTCCTTGTATAATAGTTGATACTCATCATCTCGTGTTTGTATTCTCTCGTTCCTGGAATTATCTGTTGAACACCAGTGAAACACTGGTCGGGGGGTTTACACATGTGGGCTTTTCCTTCTCTTCTCCCTCAAGTAGTGTTTGGAAGTAATTCCTCCTCTCATGGGCAATCAGGGTGCAGATTATTTTATGTGAGCTTGTTCCCTCTTTTTATTTTTTTTATTTTTTATTTATTTATTTATTTTTATTTATATATGAAATT